TTGGAGCCTATTTTTGCAAAACCAGGCTCAGATCTAGACTCTAGAGATTGAGAGGAGCATTTGGTGAATTTTTTAATTTTTTTGGCAATCGATGGAGGTGATCAACGATCGATGGTCAATATGGCAAATGGCCACTAGCTGATTAGCTTAGAGAAAGAGGGTCTGAGAGAGAGAGTTAGAGAGAGAGGGAGAAGAGAAAAAATGAGAATTTTTTTTTGGGTTTTATAGAAAGCTAAAAACTAAAATGATGTTGTTTCATTAAATGACTAAAACAACGTCGTTTGACCCTATATGATCCGTGTCAGCCTTGACTCGACCCGATGTTTGCACACTCGATCGGTGACCTGTTTTTCTCTTTGACTTTTGATCGATCCAATTGAACTAGCCTGGATTGAACCAGGCCGTTGCCTAAATCGACCAGACCGTCAAACTGCCTAGACTGATATTGATTGGACTGTTAATCGGTCTGGTTCAGGTAAAAAAAATTTTTAAAATTTTTTTTTATATTTATTATATATTATTCTAATAACATTTATGCATATTAAAATATTTATATTTGTTAGAATAATTTTTTTTGTTGTGATAAATAATTAATAAATAAATAAAAATAAATGATGAAATATATAATAAAATTTTTTAATAATTTTGTTAATTTTAGAATAAACCTTATAAAATAATAAAAATATAGAAACAGAAAATTTTTACTGACAATGAGATTCAAAGGTACTCCAAGTAGTGATACCTATAAAATCTCTAGGTGAGGAGATTTTTTTTTAAATACTACCAGTGTATTGGTGTATTTATAAAAAGTTTTCAATATAATAAAAATTTCTTTTTCTTTGTTATAAAATTGATTAAAAATAATAATAATAATAATATAAATAAGGAAAAAGGAAATTTTATTTGATGACGAGACTCTAAAAATATTTTGAGTAGTGATGTTTTACGAAATCCCTAGGTGAGAAGATTTTATTTTAAATTTACTAGTGTATTGGAATAGTTATAGAAAATCTTCAATATAATAAAAATTTCTCTTTTCTTCAAAGATTTAAATAAAAATAAAAATCAATAAAATTTCTAAAAAAACGTATAAAATACATGCATCAACATATCAGCATTTGGCATCGCATGCATAATAAGTTTTTGCAAAAAGTAAATTTGAGCCTCCGAGGATGAGATTCTAAGGTATTCTAAAAAGCAATGCCTAAGAAATCTCTAGGTGAGAAAGAGTTCTCCATATGTTACAATGTATTGGAACATTTTAAGAATTATTTCAATAAAAAGGTTCTAATTTATTTTTCTCAAATAAAATTTGAATAATAAATATGGAACAATAATAAAAGAAAAAAAATCAAAAATTCAATAAACAAAGAAAATCAAGGAAATTATTATTCAAACACCGAAAATAAGACTATTTTTATCAAAATCAGTGGATAACACGTAATTAATTGGTGTCGTTTTAAACGGGTGTTGTAGAGAAGCTAATATTTCCCCACACATAACTAACTCTTAAATTCAGACTGTTTCGGAAACCCTAAAATTATCCTTTTAATAAATTTTAATTAATTTTAAGATTTTATTAAAATGATATGCTTTAATAGTTGACCAATCGCACTTAGCCAAAAAAGATTAGTGGTGACTCCATATTTTTTATTCATTTCCAAATTCGTCAGGCGAACATAAAACCGTTACAACACTCTTGATTTGGTTCTTAATTTATTTTAGTCAATTATTTAAAACTAAATATTAATAAAAATCATTGAATGTGTTAGAAATTTTGACTTTTATATATTTATATAAAATATATAAGATTGAATGTTAATGAAATTTAGTAGAAGTTATAATTCAATCCCATTGAAAATCTAAAAAAAAAAAAGCTCTTATAGTAAATATTAAGATCTTTTAATAATTCCAGTCCATTAACAACTTTGAAAAATTACGAAAAGGAAGAATTATCTACAAAAATATCAAACTTGCTCATTTAACTTTTCACAAATCCATATATATCCTAGCAAAGACACTTGCAATTAATATTTAATTAAATATAAAAACTTATTAATACTTATTTTAAAGGACTTGATCACTTTTAATTTTACTCATAATGAAATGTCATGTTGTGGTTGATTAATAATGTGTAAAAGTTATACATTGTCTATCCATCAAATATAAATTCTTATTGAATGTGAATGAATTTTGGTAGAAATCAATATATAATGGAAAAGTTCAATCCCATTAACAGTCTTGGGAAAGTAAAAGCTCTTTATGTTAAGAGTTTTTTAATAATTCAATCCCATTAACAACTTTGAAAATTTTAAAAAATAAAAATCTAAACCAAAATATCAAAATTGCTTATTTAATTTCTTACAAATCCATATGTATGACAATGACACTTATCAACAAAAAAGACCTTATCATTTATATGGTAGACGGATGGATACATAGATTAACTAGATAGATTAATGGATTCCTTTCACTCCTATTTCTTGGTTAAATTTTTTTTTTCCATTTCCTTAATATCATGTTCATTGTTGTTTAAATCTTAATTAATAATCTCACGGTCAAATTAGACCTTCTATCTATTGTCAAATTGTCATGTTTGAGAAACTAATAAATGAAAACTGAAGAATGAATAGGATTATCACTTATAATACAAGATAATATGGTAATATATTACTCAAATCAGATAATAAGCCGTATGTAAAAGCATTATAAATTATCTAATGACAGTGAAAAAAATACTTCAAAGAATTAAAATACACAAGAACTCCATCAAATTCAAACTTATCAATTTTTCTGAATACTATGTTATATAATTGATTTAAAAACATTCTAATCAATTTTAGAGCGTATAAATTTTTAAAATGATTATTTTATTAAAAATTTTAGAAAGAAAAGCTAAAAAAAGTAGAGGTAGCAAAATGAATTAGAATTTGAAATTATTGTATAGTCTAAAGAAATCCTATAAATTATCCTTGCTTAGTACTAATTATCTTAAGTTTACTATTCTTTTATTAGTAAAATTATATTTATAGATGTTTAATGACTTAAAAATTCAATGTATAGAAAAAATAAATACTTTATAAGTTAAAAATAAATTTAAAGTTAGTAAATAAAATCATAAAAAATATTTACATAACTTTTTACTAATATTTTAATAACTACAAATAAGTAATTACTTATATAAATTCATAAATAAATACGTAATAATTATAACAAAAAATTTTACATATAAAATAATTATTATTTCATTGCTTGAAATATAATTTTTAATAATTAAAATTTTAATGATTATTTTTCATTTTCATCTCAACGATATCCTTATTTTCATCTAATTCATAATTTTTTTACCCTTTAATTTAATATTAATATCATTGTTACAACTTCATTCAGTTACATTAACAAATTTTTTATCATTATTATTTTACCGAAACCAATTCATCATCTATCTTATCATAGCTTTAATTAATTTCAAAACAAATATTTTAGTACGCTTGCGCTTTATCCAAGCTTTTCTATCCAATGCAAATGGCAAAACTAGGGCGGCTGGCAGAGCCCATACACCTATCCCTAACTAGCTTTTGAAGGTTTTGTTTTGGAATGATCACAGTTCACACAAGGATTAAAGGATGTTTTTACTCCAAAAAATTTATAGCATGACCCAGATAGCCCAAATTTGTTTTGTTTTCTTGGTACTTTCCCTAACACAAATTTGTAATGTTGTGTAGGTTTTTTTTATTCTTTTTAAATTCTAAACCCAATTTATACTTATTCTTAACTCATCAAGGAATTTGTTTGCTTTTGTTTGATCAATCAACTAAATAAATTTTGACACAATTACTTTATTACTATTTTTTGTTTTAAATTATTTTTATTTGATCAAAGAAGAAAATACAATTATATAAAACTTCAAAATACAAATAACAAATGATTTTGGTTTTTTCTTTTATTAATATAAGGTTTCTCCAATATTTACTACTTCTTTCATCTCACATATAATGTTCTATTTTAACTTTACACAAAATTTAAGAAATTTTAAATTGTTTAGTGGTAAGATGAGGAGTCCCTTGAAACCTGAGGTTTTAAGTTTAAGATTTATTTTGAGTGGATTTGATTCAATTTTATGTTAAATTTATTTACTTATATTTAAATTTGTTGACTGATAATTCAATGATTTTATGTATGTAGACATAAGACTTAATTGATTATAATTATAATTTCTTTCATACTTGTAATTTCATAAAAAAAATTTTAAATTAAAATATTAATTTTATTAGTTATATTGTAATTTTTCTCGGACTATTCTTATTTTAAAAAAGAGAAAAAAATTAATAGTTCTGGTTAAATATAATAAGAGAAAGTAATAATATATATATATATATATATATATATATATATATATATACTTTTCAAATGAGACAATATTTTAAGCTAATCAGTATTTATGAGACGGAGAGAAAATACAACAAGCCTTATCCCAAAGGCAAATTTTTGCATACTACACTTTTTACTTTTTAAAAATTGAGATTATTGTATTTGACTTGACACATATTTAATTATTTTTTAAAAAATAAATTAGATGTAAATCTATCTCTTCTTTCCTAAATAAAGAAAGAAAATTCCAACTAGCTTTCAAGGTGTACTTTGGGTAACACAAATTTTCATTTAATCCTTAAGGCAATTTAGGAAATTTGAGGGACCATATCCTTGTACACTAGCCACCTCATGAGATTACATAACTCATTAAATTTAGGGCTAACTTCCCCTAACTTTTGAGACTTTATACACTGACAAATAAAAAAAAACCAAACCCTAAGCCTAAGATTAATGCTGCTAATTAAATGTCAGACCACTTTGTTAATTTCTTTAAGGCTAATAGTAGGTTAGTTATGGATGGTTGAATTAATATCATTTCAACAAGGTAAGTAGTTGAGGATCCCTTAAAACAATATATATATCCGGCATTTGAGTGATATGCTTAGCTTCCCGTCTCCTTTTTTTTTTCTGATAAAAATACCCAGTCACTTGAAGTTCAATATATATGTACATATATAAGATTATTTGTTAGGCAATGGAAATTTGTGGCATAGTAACCGGTGTTCCTCTAATTTCAGTATTCATATTCACCGGCATCCTTATAAATCTCATCCAAGTAAATCCACTCCTATTTCATTTACAGAGTTCATTTTTTTTATATACCGTCAGTAGAGTTTTTGTTCTGGGAAATTATCATACTCCTTTGTGCTTATTATATATACTTTCAGGTGGCTTGTTATCTAACTATCCGACCGCTGTCGAAAAGTAGATTCCGAAGGATTAATGGAGCAATTACGGAGTTGTTATGGCTAGAGGTTGTGTGGATGATGGAATGGTGGTCAGGCTTTGAGGTTTCCGTATTTCTTAAATCTTTTAGGTTTTTTTTTTTTTTTTCACAAAAAAAGTCGTACCTATTGATAATAGAAAGGATTATAAATATTAAAATTTGAATTTTAAATCTATTATATATCAATTTTAATGGATACTACATGAATTAATTTGATTGAACTGTGGGTTCAATTATTTAATATTTTGTAGTATATTGTTTCCACTTATTTATTTTTGTAGCCTAAGTTACTTGGTTTCTTGTCACAGGTTAAACTGCATACGGATTTCAAAACTCATCAGTTGATGGGTAATGCCAAAAAAAAAAAAAAAATCAAATTTCTGTAATTTCCGGATATATATATATATATATGTAAAGATGGTATTTTTATTTTATTTATTTGTTTATTTTCTCAAATTTGCAGGTAAAGAACATGCTATTCTTATGCCTAATCATGTGTCTGATACTGATACGATCCTTACATGGATTTTGGCAGAGGTAATTTTAACTATCATTTCGCTTGCGAAACTATATTCTATAAATTACTTTAAGAAATAACTTAAATTTGTGTCTATATTTATTTTTATATATTTTTGCAGCGGATGGGCTGTCTTCGAAGTGCACTCACAATCGTAAAGAAATCGGTGCAATACCTTCCTGTCAGTATTTTAACTTGGCTAAATAACTTCATTCATAGATTGTGTGTTTAATTTTCTCTTATTATCTCTTGTACAAATGAACTCCGCATTTTAATTTAAAATATAATATGATAATACAATATAAATATATAAATTATTTATATTTTATATAATATAAATATATAAATTATTAGATTTAATTAATAAGTAATTATGACTTTAATCCAATAAACATAATTATTTTCATATGCATTTATCGATATATAAAAGTATAAATTTTAAAAGTATTAAAGATAATTAACCTAAATATCCCTATGAATTTTTAAATTAATAAATTTATCCTTAAATATATAACTTTTATTAATTAATTTAAACTTAATTTAAATCAAATAAAGTTAAAAACAGAGTTGATGTGAAATTAAATTTTTTAAAATTTTAATTCACAAAATGTTAAAAGTGATTCACTAAAATATCTTTAGTAAGTTTTTTTTTTTTATTTATAAATTTTGATTTAAATGAATTTTTTATTATTATATATTTTTTTATAATTAAACTAAAAAAGTAGTAAAAGTGATCGACTAAAATTATCGTAATAAAATTTTAATTTAAAAAATGTTAAAAGTGGTATATTAAAATATCATTAATAATTTTTCATAAATTTTAATTTAAATAATTTTTTTATTATTAGACTCACTTTTTATAATTAGAATGATTTTTTACATCAAATAAAAATACAAATAAAATGAGATCAATGCTTAGTTTGCATAGAAATATAGCAATTATATGGAATTTGTTTCTTTTGTTGTTATAAAAACAATTTTATATATAGTTTATGTTGACAAATAAATTCATTAAAGATAATTATAATTAAGTCATTGAAGCATATTTGTTTTCCTTTTATTTTTTGCCTTTCATTTTTTTTTTTTGTTTTAATAAATTTGTTAGCTATATATGTATGCTAATAATTTTATTATTTATATATTTTATGAATTGGTAATTTAATTTGATTATTGATAACATAATTAAAAATTTTTAGTCCCTTGAAATAATTCTTTAACATATTATTCTTGCAATTTAGTCTGGCCTCTGTAATTAATTTTTCTTTTGTATTTTTTTCTAAAATTTTATAACTGTTATTTTCATAAATAATAACTAATATCAAATCAATTGCACATATTTCATCAACAATTAATATTATGTAATTCATTGAACACTTTAATTAGATTTTTCATCAGTAAAATTAAATGATTCAAAAGGTGATAGAGTTACCAATAGCTTAGGATTGGGTCCCGTCAAATTGCCATAAGAATTATTTACATCAATTGAAATAATAATTGATTTAATTTTCTTTTAACTTTTATTTTAATGTGCATTTATATGATTAATTTATATTTTAAGATTATTTAACTTTTCTCAATCATATTAAATTGTTTGCTTTTTTTTTTTGTCACCCAGGTGATTGAACAACCTAATTTGAGTTATTTTAAGTAGAGAATTATCATGTGAAGTAAAATTAATTGTTTTTGGTTAATTCTTTTAAGATGTCACAAAATTCATTAAAACTATCTTTTGAATGTGGTTATGCCAAAGTTACACTCATTCATAAAAATTTATATTGTTAATAGTAAAAATGAAATCATTATAAATTTTATAGGTATTACATAACAAGTTTGTTGTATTGAAAATTGAAATTTTCTTAAAAAAATATAATACGTACCAAGGTTAGGAATTTATTTTATTTCATTTTAATTTTGAAAATTATGTATTTTAATATTTCATATAATAAAAATTTATGTATAATAAAAATTTTCAAGGAAAGAAAAAATTAAGCTTTCAATTGGTAGAACAATAATTACATTTAATTGATGGAAGCACCAATGGAAAACTATTTTAAGCAGAAAAAATGAGACGAAAGATTGATTGATTATACATAATTTTATCTTCTTCACATGAAAAAAAAGTTTAGTGTTATATGATATTTCAATAAAAAATATATAAATATATTGATTTTAAATTTTCTAGGATTAATATCATACTTTTCTATTAAGAGAAACTGTACTCCTTCATTTTCTCTTTTTATATTAGTTGAAAAATGTTCACTATTGTATAAAAAATTTTAAGGTTGCTATATTAGGCAATATATTGTTCAACAGAATTGAAATTCATTAAATTAATTATCACTATTACATTTAATATAAAAATATTAACATAAATTATAATTTAACTAAACTTAATAGTGATTTACAAGATTAATTAGCAAAATTCATTTTATAAATTCTTATTTAATTGTGTATTTGGTATTTTAATTATTTCAAAATTTAACTTTTCATAATTTCGAGTTGAAATTTAGACTTACGATCAGGGACCGATTAGATTAAGTTAAGTTTTATCATTTACTTCTATTTATAGTATACTCAATTATTCACTTATGCATTTGAGCAAATTTAACTCAATAATAGCTACATACTTTTCTTTGTTTAAAAAGTTGTATTCAAATGACTAAATTTAAATAAAAAAGAAGTATACTTGATTACTTATAATTGTAATTTTACTTTAGAAGTGCTCCTAAAATTAATTAATCAATTCAACCACAAAGACAATAAAAATAAAACATTGAAGATGAAGGAAAAAAAATTTAAATAAGAAACTTTTAAATTGTTACAAAAGATGAATAAAAAATATTAGATTCTGATTAGGTTATTATTTCAATTTGAATTTTGTTTATATTCAATTATTTTGAGTTTTAAATAACTACTAAGTTGTTAACTTTTTAAAAGCAATTGAAAACAAGTTAAGTTGGTTTATTTTTATAATTATGTGTATTATATTATTTTTAATTAAATTAAAATTTAAAATGAGTAAAAATTTTATTTATACTCAATTTGAGTTTTGAATTGTTTCAAGTTTAAGTTGATTAATTCATGTTAATTTAATTATAATTTTATAATATTGGTAATAAATTTCAAAATAGAATGAGAACACAACACAATAAAAATTAAAATACAAAAGTGATAAAAATATTAATGATAATTGTAGAAGAAAATCCTTAAATCGAAGTCTTGCAAGATTAAAGAATATATATATATATATATTTAAAGATTTTGAAATTTGTATTATAGAAATGTAAATTTAGATCAACGAGTTTATAATCATTAATTTTTTGATCAAGCTGCTACTATATGGGTTGAGAAAAATAATTCAAACATTTTATTTAAAAAAGATATCGTAATTTATACTCATTTAGGAAGATCACATAGAATTAAATATTATTTGAGTTGTTATGACCCTCTACAATATTCTTTACTCTTTTCAAATGAAAAAGTTGATTAGCATAAAAATACAAAAAAAGTCCTAGGCAAAATATATATATATATATATAATCATTTTCAATGATGATAATAAAAATGAAATAACAATTAAAAATATATCATCATTTCATTTAATAGTAAAATTTTTTATGAAGAATGAAAAGGTAATTATTATGAATTTAACATTTTTTTAAAATTGTTATTTGTTTAATTTTTATAAATTTTATTTGGTAAATTTGTTCTTATTACTTTTATCATATATAACAAAATTTTTACCCAAAATTATATGCTTAAAGATAGAAACATATGACAAAATACTTCAAAATTTTAAAGCTTTTATATGTAATTATATTTCGCTAATAGGTATGAAAAATATATATACTAATAATTCAATCAAATCATCAATAAAACTTATCTTAATACATACTATTTTTTCATGAACTAAAAAATTTGAAGAGTATCTTAGAAATATTTACTTAATATATATTGTATATATTTATTTAATTTGGTTTTGATACTTGCATTAGTATAAAAGTTATAATTTTAGCTTATTATTACACATTAAATTATGGATAGTAAATTAAAATCATTTACTCAGGCTTTTCAAGTTATTTATACTTAAATTTTTTGTTACTTTCTTTCTCTATCATACAAATTACTTTCTTTTTGAATATACATAAATAAATGATAATATAATAGTATATAATTAAAATTTAAAAATTTAAATGTAATCAGTATAATTTAATAATAATTATTAAAATTTAGTAGTAAATTAATGATAATTTAATTGTAAACGAATGATAATTTAATAAATAATTTATAACTTTTTAGTAAATCAGTAATAATATTATAATAAATGCATAATACCTTAATGGTAAAACAATTATAATATAATGTAAATATATAATAACATAATACTAAATCAAGGATAACTTAATAAAAAAAAGTGATAACTTAGTTATCAATTATTGATAATTTAGTAATAAATCAATGAAAACTTAATAGTAAATTAGTGATAATTTATTGGTAAATCAGTTTTAGCTTAATAACAATTAATTGATAGTAAAAAATAATAAATAACTTCGTAGTAAATCAATGATAATTTAATAGTAAATAATTGATAACTTAGTAGTTAATCATTAAAAATCTTAAAGTAAATCAATATAAATTAGTAGTAAATCATCGATAACTTAATAGTTAATCAGTAATAATTTAATAGTAAATCATGTATAATTTAATATAAATTAGCAATATTTGATAGTGAATCATAAATAATTTAGTGATAAATCAATGATAATTTTGTAGTAAATAATTAAAAATTAAGTAGTAAATCAATGATAACATAATAATAAATATATAAAAATATAATAATCAATCACTGATAATTTAGTAATAAATTAATAATTTAGTAGTAAATCACTAATAATGTAATAGTAAATATAAATAATTTTAATTAATAAAATATAATTTGAGCCGGCCTGAACTTAAAAATCTATAACCAAGCTTAGCTTGGTTATGATCGGCCAATAACCCTTAGTGACAATCCGATCCATAGACAAGTATATTGCCTAGCAGAAAACTTATTCCGTTTTGAAAGATGTTTTTATTTATTTCCTATTTATTTATTTTTATTTTTTAGTTTTTGCTTTTTATTTTAATATTTTATTCCGATTTGAAAGATGTTTTTATTTTTTTACTAGTTTTTTTCTTATTTTTCAGTTTATCCTTTTTATTCAATTTTTAAAAAGCAAAAAACCGATTAAAGTAGTGCATCAATTACTAGTGCTCTTGTCATTGATAAAGTTACTGAAAAGTTTTTGCTAATAAGTTGACTTTGTTACGTCTAAGAGAGATAAAATTAAATTTTATGCTTACTTTTCATTTATTGGAAAAGATTGCTCGTTTCCAGTTATGTATGTAGTCTCCTACATACATGTACACACTATGCGAAGAATATTAAAGAGTTGGACCCAATTCTTCATACATGTATACAATATGTGAAGAATATTAAAAAAGAGAGAGATATTAAAGATTGTAATTGATTAAAGTTAATTTATATGAAAATTCTAAATTGTCCAATTGTATAATTACTCACATGTTTATGAGTTTGGTTACTTATTTCTACTCTCATACCATTTGCGACTTGTAAGTAGTCAGATTATATTGTTGTTGGGACTATTGGGCACTGATAGCATTATCCTAATTCTAATTATAATTATTGAATTACACTATCAATAGCTTCTTTGGAATAAAAAATATTATATTTCTTTTATGATTTTCTCAAGAAAATTTTCACAAAACTCAATGCTTCCAAAAAATATTGGCAGTTCTTCGGGTGGACAACTTGGTTTTATGAATTTATTTTCGTGGATAGAAATTGGGCCAAGGATGAAAGCAAATTGAAGGTAAAATGTTTTTACTCTCTTCATATTTATAAAGATTCTCCTTTCATTTATTAAATAAAACTGGTAATTGGTGGATTGGAACATTTCAAGTTTGGGATATTTCAAGTTAATTTTGGCTTGGGTCACAAATTAATTTCGCTTGTTGTTTTTATGTTATTAATTTGGGTTAAATGGAATTGGGTTTTCGGTAAGTTGAATGAATTTTTAGAGGATTGTGTCAAGTTTTTTTTTTTTTTAATAAAAAAGATTGTAGTTTGAAAATTAAAGCAAAAAAATGCAGGGCTTAATTTTAACTAGTGTCTACCAATACAGGTTAAAGTAATATTTAAAAAATGGTAATTCATTCATTTTCTCATCTTGAATTTGATAAAAATAGTGTATCAAATGTAAAATTTTTTATAAAATAAAAATTTTTAATTATTTTGAACCAATGCTTAAAGAAGTAATGATTAATAGTATTGTTATATAACAATTGGGTAAATACCAACAAAAAAATTTAGCAATTGGGTTAATGTCAACTCATCAAATTTGCAAGAATTATTCATGGCTAGGAATATCGTTGGGTTCCCATGGCCTTTTTTTTTCTTGTTGGTAACTATCGTTTAGAGCAAGCTTAGTTTTGCACGGATCAACAGGATCAGCAGTCAAGATGAGATTTTAGGTTTAACTACATTTGTTTATGCACATTAAGCATTTTTGTGGCAACTTGGTTATGTGTATTGCAGTCAAGCTTTGAAGCGCTTAAGGATTTTCCTTTTCCTTTTTGGATGACTATTTTCGTGGAGGGAACGCGTTTGACGCACGATAAACTCTTAGAAGCTCAAACATTTGCTTCTTCGAAAGGGTTGCCAATTCCTAAGAATGTGCTCATCCCTAAGACCAAGGTAAAATATATATATATATATATATATATACACTATAAAATGTTTAATTAAAAGTTAGTCTGCCAAGCCAGTGACATAAAAGTTTAACCTTCGAAGATTTCAACAGTAATTGCAGTGTTCAGTTTAGTTTTAATTAACAAAAATTATCTTATTCTAATAAATTTTTTTCCCTAAGAAATTATATTTCTAATAATTCATATATATATTTATTTATTTCATATCTAATCCGTATAAAATATATAAATTTTTATATTACAATTTGTGTATATATATCAAAAACAAAATACATTTTTTATTTTTACAAATTCACGTATCATTTTTATTAATTTTAAATCATATTATTTTTTTATATTTTGTGCTATTTTAATATCATGTTTAAAATCATTAGGTCGATTTATTTGATGAAAATAATCCCTTCAAAAAGGCTTCAAAATTTGGGAGAACGTCTTTGGTGAAAACAGAACTAAAAATTCCCTTTTTGAAGCTAGTTTTTTTTTGCTTGTTTGTTTGTTTGCAATATTCAGGGTTTTGTTACAGCAGTACAAAGTTTGCGATCCTTTGTTCCAGCAATTTATGATGTTACATTTGCTATACCAAAAGATCACCCCTTTCCGACTTTACTTAGAATTTTCAAGATGCAACCTTGCAAGGTATTTTATTTGCAATTTTCAACTTTACTCAGAATTTTCGTGTTATCTATCCATTTTCATGTATCAGTATTTTTAATTACAAAGGAATTTTTAATTTTTACTTTTTGGCGCAATTTTAATTACATAACACAGATTAAGGTGCATATAAAGCGATATTCGACGAAGGATCTGCCAGAATCAGATGAAGGCATTGCTCAATGGTGTAGAAATAGGTTCATTGCTAAGGTATGCACTTTGCAAAGCATAATTTTGTTATTATTATTTTTTGTAATGGTTAATTTTAAGATTTATATATAAGATAAATTAAAAAAATATATCAGCAAAAATAATATATATCCGTCCAAAATCTGATGTCCCTTTTTGTGTCACTATGGCATAAATACCAGGATGCTTTATTAGAAAATTTTGCAGCAACAGGCACATTTGATGATGAGGAAATTACAACTTTTCGTCGCTCAATAAAGTCATCGATAGTAAGATATATCATACAAATACATTATAATTAGCTCAAAAAATTAATAATATTTTCTATTTGTACTTAAAACCCAATTAATTTTGCTATTCAATTACTAATATTTCTCATCTAATTGGTCATTTTCCTGTAGGTTTTCTTCATTGCCACCTCTTTACTTTCTCTTGGAGCTTGGATATCATGTCAAAAGTTTTCTTTGCTTTCTACTCGGTGGGGATGTACCATTTTAGCAACCACAATAGGAAGCGTGGCAATCATAGTACACATTTTCCTTGAATTTACAAAGTTACCACCACAAAAGAGCAAAGCTGCTTTATAGATATATATATCAAGATATACAAAATAAACCAAAACAATCTCTCCAGTGATAAGAATCGAGCCAAATTTAAGCAGAGTTCTTAGATTTGATGCATGAGAGTTTATGGAATTCAAATATTTAATATGTGTACTTGGATTGTTAAAATGCTTTTAGCTTTTTGTTTTGATGTGTGTTTTGGATGCAATTGTTATGCTAGATCTTCATAATAACGGAAGTTTTAGTTACATATCACATTTCACGTATTTATATTTATTTATTTTATGATAAATACAAAAATTATTTCTCATAACCCTCTGAATACTCAATCGACCTTTAATTTTATTATACCAAAATAATCTTCAAACTTTTAATTTGCATTTAAATAAGTATTTAACTTTTAATTTGTATCTAAATAATCTTTTAACTTTTAATTTATACATAAATAAATCCTTAATATAAATCAATCTTTTGTTTAAAATAAGAGTTTATTTGCATATAAATAAGTAAATAATACTATGAAAAAACTTGCTTTGAACCATATCCAAAATCCAAATGATTAAATTTTAAAATTAGATCAATATCACATCAATGAATTTAAAATTTTGAATTTTTAAAATGTTAGGTTTTTGTAGACACCAATTTTGTCCGAGTCTACTGTTTTCATTTCACTATAATAATAATAATAATAATAATAATAATAATAATTTAATAAAAATTAAAATAAAATAATTATTAATAAACAAAAAATAAAAAAATAAAAAAAATAGAAAGTAAGGTGGCTGGCGCTGCTGCTACCTCCGACCAGCCACCCTACAACCCTCTAACCAGCCCTCTGTCTACCTACGCTCACCAGCCTACAGCCACCCTACAGCTACCTTACAGCCACCTTGGAGTTCTTTAAAATCCCCAGCCCCTCTCCCTTTCATCTCTCTCGAAACCCCCCTTTTCGAAAGCTCTCGGAACCCCTTTGAAAAACTTCCAAACATATTACCTTCAGCACCCTATCGTTTCGAGCTCAAACACCAAGTCAAACTCTCCCTTTAACAACCTCTAATAGAACTCATACCAACAAAAAAAATACGAACAAAAAAACAAAAACAAAAAAGCATACACAGTCCTTCTCGCATGGAGGAACCCAATGCCAAAGCTACCTGCAAAAGCAAAAAAAAAAAAAAATCACGTCAGTCTTGTTTCAACAAAACAAAATAGAAAAGAAAAGAAAAAAAAGAATAGAAAACTTTGAACCCCGATCTACATCGATCGGGGCTGTTTCTGATGAAAAGGAGATCGGATCTAGAAAGATCGCGTCGAAAACAACTTCCTGGTTACTTTTGAAGTTTTCGACCACTGACGACAGTGGACCAGGCGACAGCCGACATGGTGCTCCGACGACCGGATGGCGAGACGGCCGGACCTCCCCCCCAGAGCTCTCTCTCTCTCTCTCCTTTTTTTTTTTCTGAAACAGAAAATAATGAATCAAAAAAAAATCTTTAGCTATATATAGGAAAGCAAAACTAAAAACGATGTCGTTTAGGGAAAGACCCAAAATGATACTGTTTTAACGAAAGAGGATCCGCACAAATCGACCCCCCAACCTGTTTCAATCAACCTTGAATCGATCTAGATGAATCGTCAGTGAACCGGTCTGAACCACTGAACTGTTGAACCATTGATTGAACTACAGAACCGGTCGGATCGATCCAGACTAGCGTTGACCGGACCGTTGATTGGTCCGATTCAGGTAAAAAAAATTTTTTTGAATGTTCTAAAATTTTTTTATATTATTTTTTTTGTTATTTTGAGTTTGTTTTATTTATTCTTGCATGATAAATTTCTAAATTTATTAGAATAAATGTTTAATTGTTTTAATAATAATAAAATAAAAACAAGTAAGATAATAATAAAAAATATCTATATTAAAAATGTTTAAAAAATAATAATTATTATTATTATTAGTTTCCCTGCCTAGATGTTGGAGGGAATATAAAATATATTTCTAAAAAAATAATTTCGCCTAGATGTTGGGGAATTATTATTAATAAATTTTAATAAAAAAATAAATATACAAGAAATGTTTTAAATTAATTTTCAAAAATCATTAAAATCGAACATGTTTCGAAAATCCGCCTAGATGTTAGAGATTTTTAGAGATGTTTATATTTTCTTAAAAATGAAACCTTAAACACTAATTCATAATTTTCAAAATCCTAGGTTTCTAAAACCCCTAAAATCCAAAATCCCCTAAAATCCAAACTCCTAAAAATCCAAAATCCCTTAGATCCAAACCCCCTAAAATTCGAAACTCTTAAAATCCAAATCCCTCCAAAATTCGAAATCCCAAATCTTAAACTCTTAAATCCAAACCCCAAAAATACAAAATCCCTAAAATTCAAATCTTTAAATCAAAACCCCAAACCTTAAAACCTAAACCCTAAAATCTCCAAACTTTAAATCAAAACCCTAAACCTTCCATATCCTAAAATTCAAGCTTTAAAACCCTCTAAACCTTAAAACCAAACCTTCAAAACCTCTACTCAAGTCCTTACTCAAAACATCATAAAAATCCTAAGGACACGTGTGAAAATTCTATTTGAAGCAATTTGTTCCCGAATGCTGCCTAGATGATGGGGTATTTAGGAAATTTTACTTTGTTAAGTCTTTTCACACGATTTCTTAATTCGCATTAATAATAAGATTAATAAATAAAAAGTATAATAGTAAATTGAGATCTTAAATATAAACAATCGCACCTAAGCTCTGCTTAGATGTTAGAGAGTTAGGGTGGCCTCATTATACTTAAGAATCTAACTTTTGAATTACATCTAATCCTACATAACATTCATTGGCATACATACCTTAGCATGTTATTATCAGTATTTATTTGCACTATTATGTTTTTAATTTTTATTTACTACTTGGTGATAAAATATTTTATAATAAAAAAAAGAATAATACTTTTAAAAAAATTTTGTGATATTACAAAATAAAATAAAAATAACATTCTGAAAAAAATAATTCTTGGTATTCTGCCTAGATGTTAGAGAGTCATCAACAATTTTTATAAAGAGTGTTATTTCATTTTAAGGGTTATTGTGTTAAATCTTAAGCAAAAAGAGTTATTTTAAATTCTGTTTAGATGTTGAAGAATTTTAGGATAATTCTTTAACTTAAAAATTTTCTCAATATTTCTAAATAAAAATTTTAGCAAAATTTTATTTTTCCAAATGAAGGGAATTATTGTTAAATTTCAAATTAAAACCATTTTTATCCAAGATCGAAAATAGCGCGTAATTAAATGGTACCAATTTATGGGCGTTGTGGGGGTGCTAATCCTTCCCCACACGTAACCGACTCCCAGACCCAACTTGATTTTTCGTAAATCAAAATTTATCTTTTTGATAAACTTTAAACCCATTTTTATAGTTTTATTAAAATGATAAACTTTTGGGTGGCCAATCACACCCTAACAAAGATTGGTGGCAACTCTCTTTTATTTTTCTCCATTTTAAAACTCATTTTTATGTCAGGCGGTCTCAAAACCTTAACCTCAGCCTACACTACACACCCTGAAAAGCCCATTTTGATCAAATGTGGATACCTGGATTGAAGAGCAATATCCTTGAATTTGTATATACTTGTTGAATTCTTCATTGATAAAAAAAAATATAGCTCTAAGGTGAAACCCCAAAAGGGCAGTTTAGAGCTAAAGTTTTTTTTTATGCCTCATAATAAATTTTAGAGTTTCAAGGTTCTATCCGAAATAAAAGGTCTTGATACAAAGCCTTTTGAAGGACCAGTACCCATTAAAGACCTTCCTTAAAAAAAAAAAAAAGTCAGCCCTATCTTCTTCTCAAATCTTATTTGAAAAGTAATAGCTAGTTTTGACTCACATTGGAGTATCACGTTTTCAATAAAAGAAGTGTTTTAAAAAATTATCTCTTTTGTGAGCTCAAGAGAAATCCTTACAACCTTCGTCGAGCTTTACATGAGATATACCACTAGTGAATTGAATTGTCAATTACCTCACCCATAAGCTTTTCAAATAGTAATCATCAATTTTCAAGAGATTTAAAAGTCTTGAGTTTTAAATTTTTTCATTCAATTACAAAGATACTTTATGTGGGGCAATTTTTGACCACTTTTAAAAATTTTAGAGAATATTTGAGTATTTTATACATAATACTAAGATCATTTTTTGGGTGAATATGAAATAATAAAAATTTAAACAAAAATTTTTCAAAAAAAAAAGAGAGGGGCAAGAAGAGTCTTTGCATTTGCATCACTTGCATTTACATCACTAGAAAGATATTCGTATTTGCATCACTTACATTGACATTTGTATAAGACATTTATATTCACACCATAAGAAGAATTTGCATTTGCATCATGGCATCTGCATCCTAAGAAAAGGTATTCGTAGGGGCATCTACATGAAAAGAACATTGTCATTTGCATTATGAAAAAGTCAAATGTATCAAGCATTTGAATTCTTACGTCGGCATTGACATTTGCATCGACATTTCCATTAGCATCATTTGATGAGGATAGATATTTGTATCATGTTTGCATTTATGAACTTTGTAAGTATTACAAATAAAAAAAAGAGGCATGTTTTTAAAGTTTTAAAGTCTCTATTTAAGAAGAACCGCTCTCAATCAAGATTTCAAAGCCTCTGTGTAGAGGGAACCTTCTTCAGAAAAGACTTTTAGAGTCTCAAAAATATCTGATTAGGTGAAAGCTATGTTTTAAAAGATTTTTAAAATTTTAAAGTTTCATTACCTCTGATTGTGAGGAGCATTCAAAGATTTTGAGATTTGTAAGACCTCCAGGCATAATCTCTAAAAGCCTATGCACAGGACTTTCAAGATTAAAAGATTTTTAAATTTTAAAGTTTCATTACCTCTGATTATGAGGGGCATTCAAAGATTTTGAGATTTGTAAGACCTCCAGGCATAATCTTTAAGACTTTCAGGCATAACTTTCAAGACCTCCCACCATAAATTTGATTCGAGGTGTTATCC